GACAGCATGACTGTTTTAACGCCACCATTGCTCCCTCAATTGACTGTCCTACACCTGTTTTCCCATTTTCAGCTTGCTCAAATCAACAAGCGGTGCTCCACGCCCACGATCCAGTGATACTTCGCCCAGCCACCATGGACGCGCAGTGGCAGCAATACTACTGGAATCAGTATTTGATGCAGCAACATCATCAGCAGCTCACCAACCCAGATACCACAATCTCTCCTCCCACCACCGCACACCACGCTTACAGCCCCACAGGCACCTATGGCCCACTCACTCACGCACTCCGTACACATCATGTCCACCACTCCAACCCATATGTGACTCCACCGTACACACCACCATCGCAGCACACACCCCCACCCCAGGCACCCACCTCCCAGCCGGAGTTTCCACCTCCGCCGCCGCCACCCCTGCCCACGGCCGAACCCGTCACTCCACCACCATCGACCTTCCAACACAGCCCACCGCCACCACCCACCACACGTGGCACCACAGCGCCTGCCCCACCGCCCCCACACATCCCATCTCCCACACCACCTGTTCCCGACTCCTGGAACTCAACCGAGCAACATTGGGACTCCAACACCCTGCACGGCCACCAACTACATCGTACAATTCAACCCACCCAGTGGTCTCGCAAAGCAGGAGTGGCCGGCCTCCCCACCTTTGAGGTCTTCCCGTGGCAATTGGCTTACCACGGTACCTCCGAGTTCACCGCCCGTACCCTGAGCAACGGCAAATTCACAGGTTTCATTGCCACCAGAAGCATAGCGGAGTCGGTCTTCGTGACCCTTTTTCTCCAACAACTCCGCGAGAACCGCCTTGACCTTGACGGCATAGCGGAGGCTCTCCACACACAACAGAGCACAGACGTTCCAAACAAAACTACCCATGCCCGAGCGTTTCACGCTCCCCTCATCAAACTGCTTATCGACCAACTGCAAACCCACTCCCCAGCACCTGCGGAAGGCTCCGCCCTACGCGCCCTCAAGACCACCAACGACGAACGTGCACGTCAGAAACTCCACGACCTGGGCAACCCACTCACACCAGTCAAGAACACCAGCCGATCTTCCGCACCAGCCGCCCCTTCTCACGCACCCACGCCACCACCACCGAAACCACCAGCCATCACCGACGTCTTGCAACCACCACACCCCACGCTGCAAGACGATATCCCCGAAGGCTGGAACTACCCAGAGATCCAACAATGGGTCACTACCTTCGACCCCACCATCCAAGAAGCTGCCACGGAAGTCATCCGACTGCTGCAAACAAGCAAAGTCACCACGCAGCAGCTAAAAGAAGCAGCCACCAAGTATGGCCTACCCCTCAACCGGGTCAACCGACTCCCCATTCGCAGCCTACAACAGCTGGTGGGAGTCGGAGCAGCCATTGGTTGCTGACTCGCCATCGTGGCCCAGCAGCAACCCAGCCACACCAACCTCACCCAACTCTTCCACCTGCACCGCGCACTTTCCATGCTCATCCACCGCACCCAATACATCGACCGCGCTGAGGCCATCTTTGCAACCGGCCTCATCCACATCACACTTCTTTTCGCATACCCCTCCAACACCCGTCGCTCACAACAATGGCGCAACCGCCTCCGCCAGCTCCACATTTTACCCCACACCTACCACTACCACAACTTCCTCTCTTCCAATTCCGTCTACATCAAGCTCCACTTCAATCCCGACCAACCCCAACGCTGCTACCATCAACATGGCCACTTCTACGTTGGCTCCACAGCTATCGGCATCCCCCACCGCGAGCACAATCGCCGCGCCAAACTCAAACAACTCCAAAACAACATTCCCATTTCTGCAGAACTCTCCTTACGTTATTGGCATTCACACAACAACATCCACCACTACACCACTATTCAACTCACCTCCCATGACACATACGACCAAGCCTGGATCCAAGAGCACCACTACATCGCCAACTGGATGCCTTCACTCAACTGGCCTTTCATTTCCCACCACCTCAAACTCAAAGCTCAGGGATGGCAGTTCGCGAAACACAGAGCCCACTTCTACTCCAGACTAGCCACCCACAAACGACTTTTCCGACGCCTTCGACAACGCCAGTACACCCTCAGAGAACCACACCTCTACACTTCCACTAAGCATCACGCCCTCCAACTTCTTCGCAACCTTACCAAACACACCGCAGCCTCTTTTGAGGCAGCAAAACAGATAAGAAGCGGCCGCCGCACGGACCTCGAGGTGTATGCAATCCGGCGTATGGCCGCAAATTTGGAAGAACCTGGCCGCAGCCGAGCTCTTCACATCCTCAACAAAGCCTTGATCTACCGCAACCTCACGCCACCAAAGCCAAACATCCCATTGACAGTGCTCTTCTTGGCCCATGACGACTTTACCAAGCACTGCCAACAATGGCTTCGTACCACCATCCAGCAGCACAAGCACTTCACCATTCCCCTCCACCTCCCCTCCCACAGACTGAGGGAAGCCGCCCACAAAACCCTCCGCTCCCACCTGCACAACCACCGCACATGGGAGGACACCCTCCACTCCCCGCCAGATCCAGCAGACCTCCCCTGTGCATGCGATCACCTTCGCACCCTCCTGCAGGATCCCGATACCCCTACCATCAACGGCCACTACATCCTTACACTTGACCAACTCCAACTCCCTACACACCTCAGCATTTTCCTCAACGCCAATATGAACAGCACCTATTACCCAAGCAAAGCTCGGTACTTCCTCATTTTCAAGACGGCCTATACCAAATGGCTCAAACTACAGGGGCTTCCACCATCCCTAGTTCAACACCTACAGCCTTTCCTTGAGCACCAATGGCGCCTTCACAACACACACCTCAAGCAGCAACCCCGTTTTACGGCCCGCCTGCTTCGTCAACTCCAAGAACATTTGGGCAAACACACATTACTCCACCATGCCGATCACGAGCTCCAACAACTGCGACTGTTTTGCCCTCGCCAATACTTCACTGGCGCCTTGAACACCTGGCAATCCCCCGAACTATTTGAACCACTTCCCTACATCACTGTCGCCAACATCCATGACCACCTGGCCGCCACCGTCCCCCCCATCCTGCGCACCCGCTACAAGTGGGGCTTCCGAAAAGACTTCAACATCCCCTACGGTGTTGTCCACCTTAAAGAGAAGAAGCACCGGCAAAAAGGCCGTACAATTATATCCTACTTCCAATCACTCAGCGGCAACTTGCTACGCATCACCAGCCGTGCCCTCGACATTATCCTCCAACACCTCTACCCTCAGCATCCAGGCCAAATGTCCATTCCACAGCTTTGGCACCACTTTCACAGTTACCTCACCCAAACCCCACCCGACATCTCACTACACGCCACCAATGATGACCTGGTCGGCTTTTTCAACTCCGTCCCCCAGCACAGACTCATCGATGCAGTCCACTCCCTTGTTCTCCACTGGCAACAACAGCAATCCACACACACCTTAACGGTGTATGTCCAGGCCACCGGCAATCCGTTCCACCACTCCCACATTGGCAGACACCATCGCAAACACCCTACCCAATGCACCATCCAGACTTCCGACATCACCACCATTGTGGCTTTTGCCCTCGACACATGCATTTTCCGGGCTTGCAACAACACTTACAAACAAATCCGAGGGGCCGGGATTGGATCCCAGCTCTCTCCAGCCCTATGCAATGTTGCCATCACCCTCATTGAGCATTCATGGCATCAGATCCACAACAACCTCCTTCAACACACAGACCTCCACTTTACTTACTATCGATATGTCGACAACCGTTTCATTGTCCACAACGAACATTTCCTCCAACACCCGGCTATCCAAACCCTCATCCACCACAATTTCTTTGGCGACCCTGTGGAACTAGAACCGGTGGAGGATTTTCATCTCCTCGGTTTCAACATCGACCTCCCACAACGCACCATCACCTACATGCAACCTTCTCAACCCTGGAAAATCCGGGATTCCACCACTGCCGGGAGCCAGCGCTTGGCTCTATCAGGCCTCCAATCACGACTTCACACCATTCGAAAATACACATTTCCACCCTCCAGCGCTGACGTTGCTGCGGCTGAACTCGTGAACCTATATGTCCAAAAGGGGCATAACTACCACGCCTGCCACCGGTTTTTGAAAAAAGCGCCGAATGCGGCGACCTGTGTGTGTCCCACCCTGGACAAAGGGTCTTACACCACCACTCTTCCCATTTTACACAGGCAGGGGGGCAATGCACGACTGACAGACATTGCCCAACGAAGACGCTGTCAGCTCGTGGTGAAGCAATGCGGGACGCCGCATTGTGTACCTGCTCAATGAACTTTTGCACACGCTGTCCACTCTTTTGGTTTGATTCATGGTGGTTCCACACGATACTTTCCCCACAAACAGGTTTCCCACTGCACTGCAGCTGCTGACCGCCGCTTCCACTTGCGCTTGTCGTGAAACCTGTGTTAAACAATACAGTTTAAGCTGACCTTACCACCTTGCCGTTCCATCGCCTTCCTTCCCATTGAGACAATTGCGTTAACTGAAAACCCAAGTTCGAAGTGTGTGTGTTTGTCTGAGTTCAAACAAACTCTGAAGCTTCCACCTTTCGATCCTCCCTTGGTAGGCTTTGTGAGCACCGCTTGGATTCTTTGAAGCAGGACCGTTGCAGTTTCCCAAAGCCTCGTCAGTGCTCAGTTCTCAGTTCAGTGGTTGCTGTTTATTGAAAGCGGCTTTTGCGGAGGAGTTCGTATACAATTTCCTCACGGAGTTTTTCCTCCTCTATGACAACCTTCCAATTTGGCACGAATCCTCAGTACCAATGGCATTACCACACTGTGGTAGACCATTTGCGCTTCTCCAAAGCTTTGTACAAGAGTTGAGTCGAGTCGCTCTTGAAGTTGGCCATGTTTTCAAGATGGAGGCATTTGGGAGGTTAAATCATTCGTTTCCTTGCGACCAGGTTTCATCGTTTAATTTCCTTCAACTTCGCGTGGAGGAATGTCCCAATTGGAGGCGATCTGGGTGAAACCATGAAGTGTGAAACCACACCGGCCTGAAAGAGTTGGACACAGCATGAACAAGAAGCTACTAGTAACAAGAAGCTACTAGGGGCTCCTGGCATCGCTACTAGGAGCAAGGACGCTACTAGGGGTTCCTGGCCCTACTACTAGGAGCAAGTAGCTAGGAACAATCCTTGAACAAGCAGTCAAGTCATCAGACCATCCGTCTTGCAGTCGAGTCAGGTGCATCTCCAGCGTCTGCAGTACAAAACTATTTGTATGACCGTCAACTTCTCAGGCCAACCAGCAAACATACAAAGCTTGACGTAGCAGTATTTCTTAATTTTTCTTATGGGGCTATTCAAAGAAGTTCTCATGAGAAGGATTGCTGCAAAAAGATAACACCTGCGCCCCGCTGTCCAAGTGGAAACCAAGGCACTATCTCAATGAGTTTGGTTGGCGTTCAAGCACTCACCTCCTTCCCGGCAGAGCTGGCCAAGTCTGGCTCTTGCTTTGTTTCACAGCTTTAAAAGCGGCCAAGTCTGGATGATAAACTCTGAAGCCTCAGGATGGATGCGCGAGCTACTCGCCTACTAGAGCTTCAAGAGGCCATAAAGAACACTGACACAAGTTACAAAAACGCTACTAGTAGCAAGGGGTTTGTGCAGATATTCTTTTGGATGAATATCTTCAACAGGCAATCCACTGCGCTTCGCAAGTGCAGCCCAGGCGGGTTTTGTCGAAGGAAGGTTTGAATGTGCTGAAGGTTTGGCAAAAGGATTGATTTGCTGCGTGTTGCTGTTTGAGCTGTGGACAAGCCTCCTAGTTAGCCTGGTTAGTTTGGGTGCTGCCTTGTTGGAAAAAGCACTGGTGAAGCACTTGTCAACTTAGAGGCCGAGGTGGAGTAGCACTTTGGTACTCTTTTCCCACCTTGGAATGAGTGCTTGATGTTGGACATGGTGATTTGGTACAGTTGATGGTTGATTGACACTTGACCGACAGTTGACGCTTGATGACACTTGCCAGGATAGATTTTGGCCTGAGTGTTGTAGTGTCCTTAGATTTCTTCAATTTTTGCAGTCTTCGAGAGCAATATAGCACAGGCTATTTTTTGGATGCGCGCCTGGCAGGAGGTGCAAGGTCTAACTCTGTCAACTCCGACACAAGAGGTGTTGGCGAAGCACTTGACCTTTGGAGTTGGAAGCTGAGATGAAACACATTTAATGGAGCAAGGACGCTACTAGGGGCTCCTGGCATCGCTACTAGGAGCAAGGACGCTGCTAGGGGCTGCTAGACGCTGCTAGGACGCTGCTAGGGGTCAAGAGATCGAACGGTTCAAATTCGATCCAAACTGTTTTGGTGCGTTCATTGGTTGACATCTCAGGTCTACAGGAATGAAGCGATGCTAGTCACAGGACCCAATGGAGCCTCAAGCTTAGCCAATGGAAAGAACAGGTCATCAATTCCATGGTCGGTTGCCGTGACGGACCAGTCTTTATTTGGCATGCAATCTATGTGAGGCTGGAAAGACTGCTCTAGCACGTGTCCTGCTTGGGCTGTGGCCACCTGGAAATGGTGTCAGACTATTTGTGCCTGACAGCTTCAGCATTGTACCGCAAAGGCCGTACTTGGCACCTGGCTGCTTGGGTGATCAGGTCACATATCCGAAGCGCTTTGAGACAATCGATGAAGCACCAGCAGAGGTGGCACTGGAAAAGGTTGGACTTCTTTACCTGCTTCAGCGAGGATCAGCGACTGGTGGATCCACCCGGTGGCGTTTTCAATGCGACTGGGAGGATCAGCTCTCCGGCGGAGAGCAGCAGCGTCTTGCGCTGAGCCGTATCCTTTTTCATCAACCCCTGTTTGCGATCCTGGATGAATGCACTTCGATGGTGGCGGCCGATGCGGAAGAACGTCTCTATCGCACAGTGGTTGACACATCGATTACTCCGATCACCATGTCCCAAAGACTTTTCCTTCCAGAGCTTCACACGAAAGAACTTCGTCTTGGCGTTGCGAGTGCGCGGAAGTGGTGTGAGGCCAATTCCTCAGAGTCAAAACGCTGAACGGATGCCTCAGAGTCTTTTTCATTACAAACAGGTTCAGCTGCAGAATGGCAGTTCCTGAACCTTGACCGTTTCCCAAGAGGCCCAGATTTTGTGAATTCCTGCTGTAAGAACAAAGCTGGCAAAGCTAAAGGAAAACAGATGAAATCTGGAAGAGCAATGAGAGTTGTTGCTGCAGCACGTTTACATTCGTGTCCTTGTGCAAGGCAGATCTGCTCCGGCTAATACCCCTCCTGACTTGCTTGCGGTAGCGACTGCAGGTGAAGCTTTGTCAGAGCCGATAACGAACACCCAAAGAAAAAGGATGGATAACAATGCTCAGAAAGCAGTATATACTCTACTAGGAACAAGTGCATCGCTACTAGTAACAAGTGCCTTACTAGTAGTAACAAGAAGCTATTAAAAAGAAGAAGCTAATACTCTTTGTTAGATAATGTTAGATATGAATTTGCACAGAATGATCATTTCTGCAGCTGTTGCACCTCTCAGAGCTAGCCATGATACTCTCGAGCCTTGGTTGTATCATATCCGAATGAATGGGTATTTGCGCACTTCAGAGCCGCAAGACCTCAAAGCTCAAGCGCTTCAAATCCAAAGGCTTTGGACGGGGCACAGCTCATTCTTTTCCACCGCTCATCCCCGACAAGGGCGTTACCCCAGTGATGGAAACCACATGAGGTGGCAGAGGATTGTGGACAATTCAACTTACCTTGTACTTAGTGCGCTGCCATGGCGGACGGTCGATTTGATGATTTGTCACTTACCTGAGACATTCAATGTGTGCGTCAACACACCTGCATGTTGCTTTCACTTGAGACATCGCTGGTCCCACCATTTTGCGAGACATTCTAAATTATCATTCCCTTGCAAAAGAAAGATTAGCTTGATTAATGAGAGGCAAACCATGATCATTTGGAAGTCGACATGGATTCAGCTATGGTGCTCGTGCTGGTTCTAGGTTCGACAGGAAACTGTTACACAGGCGGCCATCACATGAATTTCCTTGGTCCTCACACTCAATAGACCCCCTTTTCTTCTTTGGTCCATTTTGTGATAGAGTTTATCCCAGTGTTAACACGCCAACCGCTGAGGCTGGTGAATATGGCAAGGAAGCACTCCAATGTCGAGGAGCACAGGGAGTGGAGAGAGAATAGGGAGCGCAACAGCGCAGCTCGATGGAAATATGAGGAGAAGCCAGGCAATTAAGGAATCAAGCCAGCACCAATATCAGCTTGATGTAGACTCTTAATTATATATATATATAATAACCTCCCCGCAATTAAATTGAAACAGCTCTGAACAAGGGGGGGCTTACAGAACTTGACATATCTAATACACAGGCATGATGAAAGGATTCGGGTGCTTATCTTTGGAGAGTGTCACTGTACTATCAAGGGAAGAGATTGTGGAGGAGCTTACCTGGAGCCTTTTGAGTTTCTTTGAGCGTCGCACGGATCTCTTCCACGTAATGGAGACCTCATCCGACCGTAGCTAGCTCAGCTTTCACCAATACTAGTTAGAATCAATGTGTTCAATGACATTGATTTTGCACCCGATGTCTTGGATGCATGCCAAGAACAATGGGCTGCTTTGCTGAAGACCTTTCGGCTGTTTGGCGCAACACGCTGCAGGTATGGGTTTTGGACCAGGAATGGCTGAGAAGATGCTGTTCAAGCACTTTAACTTTTGCTATAGCCTCTGCTTTTCAGGGTTACTGTACTTTGTAGTAAGCAAGGCCTGCATCCTTTTTTGTAGCAGATAAAGCCATGAGCTTCGTGGATGCTACCAACTGTTGATGAAGCCTACCCAGATGAGTACTTTAGCATGGCACTTGTTTCTGAACGTCCTCAGCCACGTGGCTCCAGAAATGCCTGTTAAACAGTTCGTTCTGGAGTATGTGTGATGATGATGAAAGGTCCGTATAGTCTCTAGCTTAGTGAAGTGCTTGGATGGGTAGTTTCTTGCCACTATCGCTTCTAGGTTGGAGGCTATCGCTACTAGGGTGGAGGCCATCGCTATCTGGTAATTACAGAGCTATACAGAGCTGGTGTGCTTGGTGAAGGGGCTTCGTCCTTGTCGGCTCCAAGGCCCTCGACCGAGCGAAGACACGTCCAATGCTTTGCACGGTCTGCCACAGCTCAACCTTCATAGACCCTCAGAGTGAAGCCAAGTGATTTAGATCGACAACTTCTCCACCCGATCTTTCTCCCTGAAGTTACTTTGTTTTGTTGCATCTTTCATATGATTTCTGTTGTGAACCATTGCAGACTGTTCCCTTGACCATGAAATCTTACTACAACGTTGTGGCATACATGCAAGAGCGCTGCCATCCCAGGAGTGCACATGTGCCGGAATCCGAGCAAAAACCCCTGTTCCCTGTCCTCGGTGCTTGCATTGGAGCACCGCTTTGTGTTGATTCTGTTCAAACCCAACTTTCAATTCAGCATCCTCAAAACTGTGCTGGATATTGGCTCTTTGGATGCATCTCTTGGCCAACTGCCAGTTGAACCATTGAGGTCGGAATAGCATTCAACCCATCTCGGTTGTATGGCGACATAGCACTCCTTCGAGGCATCGCTTTATTTTTGGGTCAATTCACAGACCTTCAACTGGTTTGAAGGCACTATAAGAGAGTAGCAGAATGTGTTAGCGCTGCGGAGAACTCGGTGACAGTCTCACACTTAGTCCACTTGCCATACGGAGCTACTGATGTATCAGGGAACCTGGTTGTCTCCACCGATTTCGTGCATTTCCCTGGAGCTTTCATGGATTTCTCAGGAGGCACGAATGTCTGCTGATGCCGCCCCTTCCTCCAAAGTGCCGCTGCCACTCATTTCCATTGAGCCACCCAAGCTGGTGATCACTGCCGCTTGGCTAAGGTTCTGAATCTTTGGATGTGGTTCTGTGCGGATTTTGAGCTCTGCAAAAACGTTATGAATGACGGGCCGGGCATCGAAAGGACTGTGTTGCCCAGGTCTCAGATCCGGATTCGGGCAGAAGATGCTTCGACTGATTTATACATGTCACCAAGAAACAGTTTGGAACATGCACGGCAAGAGCAGAAAGAAAGACAAAGAAGAGCCAAACACACACACAGTGCAAATGCTACCTTGGGTAGTGTTTCCAGGCTCTGGCAACGAACATGGTCTTGTTTCAGAGATCTGAGGAGTGTCTCACAAGATATCCCTCGCTTTCTGCGACGCAGTGCCTTGCGTCCTCACAGGCTGGGAGATTGAAAGGCTTTACACAGCGACAAGGAACTGAATAGGTCTCAAATGAGCAGAAAAGCAGGAAAAGCAAACGCGTCAGCTTTGAGTGGCAAATCACACACTTGTCGTTTGCCTGGAGATGTATTTCCGTTGCAATAACACGGATTTTCAAAGTCTTTGGCCAACAATTGCTTTGCAGGCACAAATATAGTGGCTCTTGACCCTGATTGCACGCCTTCGATACCTGCGCAAGGCAAGTTGGGAGTTCTTTTAGCGCTGCTCGGCAGAAGTAGCGTGACATACTTGAGACGAGACGCGTGGAAGATCTATGTGCCGATTTTACCCCAAGGAAAGCTCCCACAAAGAGCAAAGACCTCAGAGCAACGATGACGTCTGGCAACGGCGCCGAGGAAATCAGATTGGAACATTTCACATGTTGTAAAGTTCATCCAGTTATTCCATGTTACACTTCTGAAAGTGTGGCACCCCTTGCTATCTGGCAGGACAAGTACGCGGTAGCTTCCCAGCTTTGGCTTGTTTATGCCGATACTTGCAGTGCTGGCCTTGGCGATGGCTGGACGTGTTTTTTTGCACCTCTCAGCACCTATTGAAGGTCCACGACAGCTGCAGCAGATTTTGCTCCAAATGAGCTTGCAGGGTGCCATTTTGCAACTTGGACCTTGCAGCTTTCCAGCGGGTTCTGTCCTTTTCCACTTCGGGCTGATTGCGCCGGTGGCCGTTGCGTTTCCAAGGCACAACATTACACCTCGATGGATGATCTCTCCTTCTCCCCTACGACAGGGCTGCTCCTGCCTGAGAAGGGGAGCTCCAAGTAGGAGATAAAGAGAACACTCGTCGATTCTATGACGCAGTAAACAAGTGAAAAGCACATGAAATATATATATATATATATTATATATATACATATTCTCATATTCAGTCATATTGGATACTACTGTATCCAAGACGATGTCAATCGCATGTGCATCATATTGTCATCCTAGGGTTGGGCAAGACGAGGGAAGACTTGGCGGGGGGTAGAGGACGCTACTAGGAGCAAAGGGCATCGCCACTAGGAGCAAGGACGCTACTAGGGGCTTTTTCGTGGCTGAGTCTATGGACTCCTCGTGGCGGGGAAGGCGGTGAAACCTGCTGAGCAGGCCATGCGAAGAAGAGCAGAAACTCATCACCATGAACTATCGATTGCTTTCCTTCTTTTTGGCATTTTGATTGTTCTGTTGTCCAACATTTTGTATCTCTTGTACACCTGGCTGCTAACCTGGCCAACATTTGATTGCTTTGCAGGAACCCGCGCAGGAGATAACCATGAAAATCCCTGGCAAGGCGTATAGATTGTCACACAAGATATCCCAGATACTTCAAGATAGTGACATTGTCTCAGGTGAGAGTGGCGGATCTTTACAACGAGGTCACATTCTTGGTGAGGTGATTTAGACATGGTGCACCGAACAAGACTTGCCGTTCAAATATGGTGTTTTGTCAACGGGTTCTTCAATGCCACCACCAACAGCCATTGAAAACCGAGGTCAAGATGTCCTTGGCAGTGAAGGGCCACGAGAATGTTGCAGATTTTAGGCGATGGAGTTCCGCAGAACTGGTGAGCTTGGCTCCTTTCATGTGTTTGATTGCTGCTGAACCGTAGGGGTATCTTCTACATGGACGCCACCGAATGCAAGCATGTTGCCGAAGCTTTGAATCCAGCAATGGCATGTCCGAGCCTCGGACGATCATCCAAAGAGTTACGCTACGCCGTGTTGGGACTCAGGCAAC